TATCAAATACAGACTCAACAATAACAACACCAAAACTCAAATGGCCAAATGATTTAACTCCCTCAGCGCTGACGTCTGGGCAGAAACTTGCAGTAACATCTTTTCTAAGACCAGAAACATAAACTTACAACTTATACAACGCAAGACCATTTATAGGATGCAGCGTTTTCCTTTTGCACGTGTTTTTTGGTTTATGCAGCGTTTTCCTTTTGCATGTGTTTTGTTTAATGCCGCGTTTGTGTCTTGCATGGGTTTTTTTGGTTAATGCAGCGTTTTCCGTTTGCATGTGTTTTGTTCAATACCGCGTTTGTGTCTTGCATGTGTTGTGTCTTTTGCATGTGTTGTGACCGTGTCGGCCACCGTAGAATAGTGTATGTGGAACTAACAGCATTACCAGTTGCACTGCAACAATTAAAACTATAATTATTTAGTCCTGTGTTTGTCAAGTCAGAATATCTGCTGTCTATTTCAGTTGCAATACTTATCGACTGAGGCCATGCACATTCCCACCAACCTCTAAAAATGTAACAATCTGCTTTTACTGGTAGTATCTTATCATTGTTGTGATTTTTTTTTTCTCCTTCTCTCTTTTTTGCTCTTCATAGACATATATGTAGGTAAGGTAAACAATTACATCCTTAATCCTTGGCAGATGGTGCATATGTAATGCTCACATGTTCCATCTGCAGTGAGCATGCACTAGAGTAGTCTGGGTGTCAAATAAATGATTAACAGAAAAACAAGACACTGACCTTCACCCAACAGTTAAAATAGTACTGCGAACTACAGTAAACTACTCTAAACTCTATTCTAACTAACATTTTTCTTTTCTTGTATGAAAAACTATTCTTTAAAAAATTATTTTTATGTCAGTCTGCATGAAGAAAAATGGGTTCCTGCGTGCTTTTATTTTTGTCAGTGGTAAGTTTGAAAGTCAGTACTTCACTGCGATTAAACCCTATTTGTGTCTTATAGAAATGATTCATATGATTTCTGTGACTCTTTTAAATTGCAATTTCCAAAAAGTTTACTGTAAGCCACTTTATGATGTGCTAATGCTAACCATGTTGTTGTAAAAAAAGGTTACTTAATAAATGTAATTAAAGTTGTGTCAGATCTTTCTCAAGGACGATACACCTGGAGACATAGTCAAGTGCTGAAATGTTTAGCAGCAGCTATTGAAAGCAGGTGCTTAGAGGTCAACTCAATGGAGAAGAAGAAGAAACAAGAGGGGATTTTGTTTGTTCATGAGGGTGAAAAGTCATTCTGACATCCCTCTCTCTGGGGCCAGATAATGGGTAAACATCACTGAATGTGTACACTGAGCTTCCATATGAATGCTCTCTCATTGTTTGGCACATTTAATTGTGTATTACTGACCGGCTTTCCTGTTTTGCTAAATGAGGAATGTAATTGGTAAAATTACAGAAATAAAACATTAACTCACATGCCACTCATAAAACTAATGCAGCAAAAATATATAAATGATATCCACATCACAATATATTGACAAGATAATATACTGACTGGATTTTTACAATCTTTGACTGTAAAACCAGTCATATTTAAACCAACAGACCATACTTTCTTTAATATTGGTGTTTGTGTTTTTTTTTTTGTTTTTTTTTTTGTGGCTATTTT